ACGGACCATGATAAAGACATGATACCAACCATGATACTGACCATGATACTGAAGTGTTACTGACCATGATACTAACAGGATACTATCCATGATACTGACATGTTACCGACCATGATACTAACATGATACTAACCATAATACTGACATGTTACTGACCATGATACTAACATGATACTACCCATAATACTGATATGATAAAGACATGATACTGACCACGACACTGACATGATATTGACCATGATACTAACAAGATACTAACCATAATACTGATATGATACTGACAAGTGACTGACCATGACACTGACATGATACTGAGCACGATAAAGACATGATACTGACCATGACACTGATATGACACTAACCATTATACTGACCACGATACTGACATGTTACTGACCATGATACTTACATGATACTGAACATGATACTGGCATGGACTAAATCATTATACTGACCATGACACTGACATGTCACTGACCATGATACTTACATGATCCTAATCAAAATACTAATATGATACAGACATGTTCCAGACCATGATACAAAACCATGATACTGACATGATTCTGACATGTTACTGACCATGATACTAACATGATACTGACTATGATAAGGACCATGATACAGACAACGACACTGACATGTTACTGACCATGATATTAACATGATACTGGCATGGACTAAATCATTATACTGACCATGACACTGACATGTCACTGACCATGATACTTACATAATCCTAATCAAAATACTAATATGATACAGACATGTTTAAGACCATGATACAAAATCATGATACTGACATGATTCTGACCATGATGCTTACATGATACTAACCATGATACTGACATGTTCCTGACCATGATACTAACATGATACTGATACTGACCATGATCCTGACAATGATACGGACCATGATAAAGACATGATACCAACCATGATACTGACCATGATACTGACATGTTACTGACCATGATACTAACAGGATACTGACCATGATACTGACATGTTACTGACCATGATACTAACATGATACTAACCATAATACTGACATGTTACTGACCATGATACTAACATGATACTAACCATAATACTGATATGATAAAAACATGATAATGACCATGACACTGATATGACACTAACCATTATACTGACCATGATACTGACATGTTACTGACCATGATACTAACATGATACTGACCATGATACTGGCATGGACTAAATCATTATACTGACCATGACACTGACATGTCACTGACCATGATACTTACATAATCCTAATCAAAATACTAATATGATACAGACATGTTTCAGACCATGATACAAAATCATGATTCTGACATGTTGCTGACCATGATACAAACATGATGCTAACCATAATACTGATTTGACACTAACATGTACCTGAACATGAAACTTACATGATACAAACCTTGTAAATGACATGATACTTACCATGATATTGAACATCATACTTACATGATAATGACCATGATACTGACCATGATAGTGACATGTTACTAACATGATACTAACCATGATACTGAACATGATACTAACCATGGTACTGAACATGATACTTTCCATGTTCCTGACCATGATAGTGACGTGTTACTAACATGATACTAACCATGATACTTTCATGAGCCTAACATGTTACTGACCATGAAACTAACATGATACAAACCATGATAATGACATGATACTAAACATGATACTGAACATGATACTAACATGATACTGACCATGATGGTGACATGTTACTAACCATGATACATGATACTTACATGATACTGACATGATACTAACCATAATACTGATATGATGCTGACATGTTACTGACCATGACACTGACATGATACTGACCATGATAAGGACATGATACTGACCACGACACTTACATGATACTAAACATGATACTGACCATGATACTTACATGTTACTGACCATGATACTAACATGATACTGACCATGATCCTGGCGTGGACTAAATCATTATACTGACCATGACACTGACAAGTTACTGACCATGATACTAACATGATACTGGCCATGATACTGAAATGTTACTGACCATGATACTATCATGATGCTAACCATAATACCGATATGATAATGACCTGTTACTGACCATGACACTGGCATGATACTGACCATGAAACTGACATGTTACTGACCATGATACTAACATGATACTAACCATAATACTGATATGATACTGACATGTTATTGACAATGACACTGACATGATACTGACCACGATAAGGACATGATACTGGCATGTTGCTGACCATGATACTGGCATGGACTAAATCATTTTACTGACCATGAAACTGACATGTTACTGACACGTTACTGACCATGATACATACATGATACTAGCCATAATTCTGATATAATACAGACATGTTTCGGACCATGATACAAACCATGATACTGTCCATGATACAAACATGATAATGACCATGAAACTAACATGATACTTACCATGATACTAACATGATACTTGCCATGATACTGAAATGTGACTGACCATGATACTAACATGATCCTGACCATAATACTGATTTGATACTAACATGTAAATGACCATGAAACTAACATGATACAAACCATGATAATGACATGATACTAACCATGATACTGAACATGATACTAACATGATACTGACCATGATGCTAACATGATACTGACCATGATACTGAAAGGATAAAAGCCATGATACTGACCATAATACTGACATATTCCTGACCATTATACTGACCATGATACTAACATGTTGCTAACCATAATACTGATTTGATACTAACATGTAACTGACTATGAAATTAACATGATACAAACCATGATAATGACAAAATACTAACCATGATACTGAACATGATACTAACCATGGTACTGAACATGATACTTTCCATGTTCCTGACCATGATAGTGACGTGTTACTAACATGATACTAACCATGATACTTTCATGATCCTAACATGTTACTGACCATGATAACATGATACTAACCATGATACTGACATAATACTGACATGTTACTGACCATGATACTAATATGATACTTACCATAATCCTGACAATGATCCTGACCACGACACTGACATGATACTAAACATGACACTGACCATGATACTGACATGTTACTGACCATGAAACTAACATGATACAAACCATGATAATGACATGATACTAAACATGATACTGAACATGATACTAACATGATACTGACCATGATGGTGACATGTTACTAACCATGATACATGATACTTACATGATACTGACATGATACTAACCATAATACTGATATGATGCTGACATGTTACTGACCATGACACTGACATGATACTGACCATGATAAGGACATGATACTGACCACGACACTTACATGATACTAAACATGATACTGACCATGATACTTACATGTTACTGACCATGATACTAACATGATACTGACCATGATCCTGGCGTGGACTAAATCATTATACTGACCATGACACTGACAAGTTACTGACCATGATACTAACATGATACTGGCCATGATACTGAAATGTTACTGACCATGATACTATCATGATGCTAACCATAATACCGATATGATAATGACCTGTTACTGACCATGACACTGGCATGATACTGACCATGAAACTGACATGTTACTGACCATGATACTAACATGATACTAACCATAATACTGATATGATACTGACATGTTATTGACAATGACACTGACATGATACTGACCACGATAAGGACATGATACTGGCATGTTGCTGACCATGATACTGGCATGGACTAAATCATTTTACTGACCATGAAACTGACATGTTACTGACACGTTACTGACCATGATACATACATGATACTAGCCATAATTCTGATATAATACAGACATGTTTCGGACCATGATACAAACCATGATACTGTCCATGATACTAACATGATAATGACCATGAAACTAACATGATACTTACCATGATACTAACATGATACTTGCCATGATACTGAAATGTGACTGACCATGATACTAACATGATCCTGACCATAATACTGATTTGATACTAACATGTAAATGACCATGAAACTAACATGATACAAACCATGATAATGACATGATACTAACCATGATACTGAACATGATACTAACATGATACTGACCATGATGCTAACATGATACTGACCATGATACTGAAAGGATAAAAGCCATGATACTGACCATAATACTGACATATTCCTGACCATTATACTGACCATGATACTAACATGTTGCTAACCATAATACTGATTTGATACTAACATGTAACTGACTATGAAATTAACATGATACAAACCATGATAATGACAAAATACTAACCATGATACTGAACATGATACTAACCATGGTACTGAACATGATACTTTCCATGTTCCTGACCATGATAGTGACGTGTTACTAACATGATACTAACCATGATACTTTCATGATCCTAACATGTTACTGACCATGATAACATGATACTAACCATGATACTGACATAATACTGACATGTTACTGACCATGATACTAATATGATACTTACCATAATCCTGACAATGATCCTGACCACGACACTGACATGATACTAAACATGACACTGACCATGATACTGACATGTTACTGACCATGATACTAACATGATACTAATCATAATACTGACATGATACTAGCCAAAATACTGAACATGATACTAACGTGATACTGACCATGATAGCGACATGTTACTGACCACGATCCATACATGATACTTACCATAATTCTGATATGATACAGACATGTTTCGGACCATGATACAAACCATAATACTGTCCATGATACTAACATGATACTGACCATGAAACTAACATGATACTAACCATGATACTGACATGTGTCTGACCATGATACTAACATGATACTGACCAAGATCCTGACAGTGATACTGACCACGAAACTGACATGATACTAACCATAATACTGACCATGATACTGACATGATTCTGACCATGACACTAACATGATACTGACCATGATACTGACGTATTACTGACCATGATACTAACATGATACTAACCATAATACTGATATCATACTGACATGTTACTGACCAAGACACTGATATGATACTGACCACGACACTGACATGATACTAACCATGATACTAACATGATACTAACCATGATACTGGCATGTTACTGACCATGACACTAACATGATACTGACCACGATAAGGACATGATACTGACCACGACACTGACATGATACTAACTATGATACTGGCATGTTACTGACCATGATACAAACATGATACTGACCATGATACTGGCATGGACTAAATCATTATACTGACCATGACACTGACATGTTACAGACATGTTTCAGACCATAATACAGACCATGATACTGTCCATGAAACTAACATGTTACAAACCATTATAATGACATGATACTAACCATGATACAGAACATGATACTAACATGATACTATTCATGATAATGACCATGATACTGACAGGTTTCTGACATGATACTAAACATGATACTTACATGATCCTGACATGTAACTGACCATGATACTAACATGATACTAACCATAATACTGATATAATACTGGCATGTTACTGACCATGAGACTAACATGATACTAACCATAATACTGATATCATACTGACATGTTACTGACCATGACACTGACATGATACTGACCACGATAAGGACATGATACTGACCACGACACTGACATGATACTAACTATGATACTGGCATGTTACTGACATGTTTCTGACCATGATTCTTACATGATACTAAACATGATACTGACCATGATACTGACATGTTACTGACCATGATACAAATCATGATACTGGCCATGATACTGCCAAGTTACTGACCATGATACTAACATGATGCTTACCATCATATTGATTTGATACTAAAATGTAACTGACCATGAAACTAACATGATACAAACCATGATAATGACATGATACTAACCATGATACTGAACATGATACTAACATGATACTGACCATGATGGTGAAATGTTACTGACCATGATACTAACATGATACTAACCATTATACTGACATGATACTAACCATAATACTGATATGATACTGACATGTTACTGACCATGACACTGACATGATACTGACCACGATAAGGACATGATACTGACCATGACACTGACATGATACTAAACATGATACTGACAAATGATACTTACATGTTACTGACCATGATACTAACATGATACTGACCAAGATACTGGCATGGACCAAATCATTTTACTGACCATGACACTGACATGTTACTGACCATTATACTGACATGATACTGGCCATGATACTGAAATGTTACTGACCATGATACTATCATGATACTTACCATAATACTGATATAATACTGGCATGTTACTGACCATGTCACTGGCATGATACTAACCATAATACTGATATGATACTGACATGTTATTGACCATGACACTGACATGATACTGACCACGATAAGGACATGATACTGACCACGACACTGACATGTTACTGACCATGATACTAACATGATACTGACCATGATACTGGCATGGACTAAATCATTATACTGACCATGAAACTGACATGTTACTGACACGTTGCCGACCATGATACATACATGATACTAACCATAATTCTGATATGATACAGACATGTTTCGGACCATGATACAAACCATAATACTGTCCATGATACTAACATGATACTGACCATGATACTAACATGATACTAACCATGATACTGACATGTGTCTGACCATGATGCTAACATGATACTGACCAAGATCCTGACATTATACTAACCATGATACTGACCATGATACAGACATGTTTCTGACCATGATACTAACATGATACTGACCATGATACTGACATGTTACTGACCATGAAACTTACATGATACTAACCATAATACTGATATGATACTGACATGTTACTGACCATGACACTGACATGATACTGACCACGATAAGGATATGATACTGACCACGACACTTACATGATACTAAACATGATACTGACCATGATACTGACATGTTACTGACCATGATCCTAACATGATACTGGCCATGATACTAAAATGTTACTTACCATGATACTAGCATGATGTTAACCATAATACTGATTTAATACAAACATGTAACTGACCATGAAACTAACATGATACAAACCATGATACTGACATGTTTCTATTCAGGATACTAACATGATACTTACCATAATACTGATATGATACTTACATGTTACTGACCATGATACTTACATGATACCAACCATAATACTGATATGATACTGACATGTTACTGACCATGACACTGACATGATACTGACCACGATAAGGACATGATACTGACCACGACACTGACATGATACTTAACATGATACTGACCATGATACTGACATGTTTCTGACCATGATCCTAACATGATAGTGGCCATGATACTAAAATGTTACTGACCATGATACTAGCATGATGTTAACCATAATACTGATTTAATACAAACATGTAACTGACCATGAAACTAACATGATACAAACCATGATACTGACATGTTTCTATTCAGGATACTAACATGATACTTACCATAATACTGATATGATACTTACATGTTACTGACCATGATACTTACATGATCCTGACATGTTACTGACCATGATACTAACATGATAGTAGTCATGATACTGACTTGATACTGCCATGTTACTGACCATGATACTGACCATGATACTGACGTAATAAAAACCATGATACTAACCATAATACTGATATGTTTCTGACCATTATACTAACATGATTCTGGCCATGGTACTGACATGTTACTGACCATGATACTAACATGATGCTTACCATCATATTGATTTTATACCAACATGTAACTGACCATGAAACTAATATGATACAAACCATGATAATGACATGATACTAACCATGAAACTAAACATGATACTAACATGATACTGACCATGATAGTGAAATGTTACTGACCATGATACTAACATGACACTGACCATGATACTGGCATGGACTAAATCATTATACTGACCATGAAACTGACATGTTACTGACACGTTACTGACCATGATACATAGATGATACTAACCATAATTCTTAACGATACAGACATGTTTCAGACCATGATACAAACCATGATACTGTCCATGATACTAACCATGATACTGACATGTGTCTGACCATGATACTAACATGATACTGACCAAGATCTTGACAGTGATACTGACCACGAAACTTACATGATGCTAACCATGATACTGACCATGATACTAACCATATTACTGATATGATACTAATATGTTACTGACCATGACACTGACATGATACTAACCATAATTCTGATATGATACAGACATGTTTCAGACCATGATACAAACAATGATACTGTCCATGATACTAACATGAAACTGACCATGATACTAACATGATACTGACCATGATCCTAACATGATACTAACCATGATACTGACATGTGTCTGAATGTGATGCTAACATGATACTGACCAAGATCCTGACAGTGAGACTGACCACGAAACTGACATGATACTTAACATGATACTGACATGTTTCTGACCATGATACTGACCATGATACTGACATGTTACTGACCATGACACTAACATGATACTAACCATAATACTGATATGATACTGACATGTTACTGACCATGACACTAACATGACACCGACCACGATAAGGACATGATACTGACCACGACACTGACATGATACTAACCACTATACTGGAATGTTACTGACCATGATACTGGCATGGACTAAATCATTATACTGACCATGACACTGACATGTTACAGACATGTTTCAGACCATGATACAAACCATGTTACTGACTATGACACTAACATGTTACTGACCATGATACTAACATGATACTGACCATGATCCTGACAATGATATTGACCACCAATCTGACATGATACTAACCATGACCATAATTCTGACATTTTTCTGACCATGATACTAACATGATACTGACATGTTACTGACATGTTACTGACCCTGATACTAAAATGATGCTAACCATAATACTGATTTGATACTTACATGTAACTGACCATGAAACTTACATGTTACAAACCATGATAATGACATGATACTAACCATGATACTGAACAAGATACTAACGTGATACTATTCCTTTAACAGTGCCTTTAACATCAGTTGAAGGGATGGAGCGAAGATTCAACAAGCACCTTCGTAGATGGTTGGGAATACCCCCAAGCTTTACATCTGTGGGGCTCTACATAAGGTCGGGTCAGCTCCAGCTCCCCCTGTCCTCTGTTGTGGAGGAGTTTAAAGTCGCCAAGTGCAGGCTTTCCCTGACATATAGGGACTCCCAAGACCAACTCATCAGGGAAGCTGGAATCCGAACAAGATCCGGCAGGAAGTGGGCCACCAGCACCGCAGTTCACCAGGCAGAAGCTTCTCTCAGGACCAAGGAAACCATTGGTAACCCCTGCACTGGAAGACAGGGCTTAGGAACTTCACACTTCCAGCAGTGGTCAAAGTCCACTCCCCGGGAGAGGAGGACCATGATCCAGGACGAAGTTCGAAACCTTGAGGAGGAAGGAAGAAGAGCTAAAGCCATCGAGCTCGCATCTCAAGGTGCCTGGACAAGGTGGGACCTTCCCAAGAGGACCATCACGTGGAGTGAACTCTGGAGGCTGGAGCCTTTTCGGATCTCGTTTCTGCTCCGAGCAGTGTACGACACCTTACCGACCCCAGTCAATCTGCACAGGTGGGGAATGAGGGAAGACCCTCTGTGTGGGTTGTGTGGCGGTAAAGGAACCATGGCGCACATTCTTTCAGGGTGCAAAACAGCATTGACCCAGGGGAGATATAGGTGGCGCCATGACAAGGTGTTGGCACTGCTCGCAGTCATCTTGGAGCAAGAGAGGAGAAAGAAATATCCGGCCAAGAGAAGACCACAGCTGAGTAACATCGCCTTCGTAAAAGAGGGCAACAGACCTGTCGTCCAAGGCCAAACCAAGCAAAACCTCCTGCAGTCGGTCCAAGGATGGGAGATGGAGGTCGACCTGGGGAGGAAGCTCCACTTCCCAGAAGCGGTACTGTCCACCACTCTGAGACCAGATATAGTTATGTGGTCTCCAGAGGGAAAGAAGATCATCCTGGTGGAACTAACGGTCCCGTGGGAGGAGGGATGCGAGGAAGCGGCAGAGAGAAAGAAGACCAAGTACCAGCAGCTTGTCGAGGACTGCCGAGAAAAGGGGTGGACAACATGGCTGATGACAGTGGAAGTAGGATGTCGAGGTTTTCCAGCACAGTCAGTGTGGAATCTCCTGACTAAGGTGGGACTGAGAGGCCACTTGAGGAAAACAGCCGTTCGTAGGCTGGGAGAAGCGGCAGAGAGAGCCTCCTGTTGGCTCTGGCATAAGAGAGAGGACAATAGCTGGAAGCCTGGATGAGAGGCGCAGTGACCTGGCCAGTCACTGCGGACCCGCCAACTTGAGGGTGTTGTGGTTAAGGGTCGAAACACCCCATGATGGTTGGGGACCACCTGATGACCTCTTATCCGGGCCAAGGCTTTATCCATTAAGAAATGGATTAGAATCGCATAGTAGATGTATTTACGAACATGATACTGACATGTTACTGACATGATACTAAACATGATACTTAAATGATCCTGACATGTTACTGACCATGATACTAACATGATACTGACCATAATACTGATATAATACTGACATGGTACTGACCATGACACTGTCATGATACTGACCATGATCAGGACAATGATACAGACCACGACACTGACATGATACTGGCCATGATACTGACATGTTACTGACATGTTTCTGACCATGATACTTACATGATACTAACCACAATACTGATATGATACAGACATGTTTCTGACCATGATACAAACCATGATACTGTCCATGATACTAACATGATACTGACCATGACACTGACATGTTACTGACCATCACACTGACATGATACTGACCACGATAAGGACATGATACTGACCACGACACTGACATGATACTAACCATGATACTGACAATGATACTGACATGTTACTGACCATGACACTGATATGACACTGACCATGATAAGGACAATGATTCAGACCACGACACTAACATGATACTAACCATGATACTGATATGATGCTGACATGTTACTGACTATGACACTGGCATGTTACTGATCATGATACTAACATGATACTTACCATGATAAGGACAATGAAACTGACCACGACACTGACATTGTACTGACCATGATACTAACATGTAACTGACCATGAAACTAATATGATACAAACCATGATAATGACATGATACTAACCATTATACTGAACATGATACTAACACGATACTGACCATGATAGTGACATGTTTCTGACCATGATACTAACATGATACTGACCATGACACTGACTTGTCCCTGATCATGATACTAACATGATACTTACCATGATAAGGACAATGATACTGACCACGACACTGACTTGTCCCTGATCATGATACTAACATGATACTTACCATGATAAGGACAATGATACTGACCACGACACTGACATGATACTGACCATGATACTGACATGTTACTGACCATGACACTAACATGATAATAACCATGATTCTGATATGATACTGACTTGTTACTGACCATGACACTAACATGATACTAACCATAGTACTGATATGATAATCACATGTTACTGACCATGACACTGGCATGATACTGACCATGATAAGGACAATGATACTGACCACGACACTGACGTGATACTAACCATAATACTGATATAATACTGACATGTTACTGACCATAATACTGACCATGATAAGGACAATGATTCAGACCACGACACTAACATGATACTCACCTTGATACTGACATGTTACTGACATGTTTCTGACCATGATACTCACATGATGCCAACCCTTATACTGACATAATACTGACATGTTACTGACCATGACACTGAAATGATGCTGACCATGATAAGGACAATGATACAGACCACTACACTGACATGATACTAACCATAATACTGATATGATACAGACATGTTTCTGACCATGATACAAACCATGATACTGTCCATGATACTAAAATGATACTGACCATGATGCTAACATGATACTAACCATGATACTGACATGATACTGACATGTTACTTATATGATACTAACCCTAATACTGATATAATACTGACATGTTAATGACCATGACACTGAACATGATAAGGACAATAATACAGACCACGACACTGACATGATACTTACCACTATACTGACATGTTACTGACTATGACACTAACATGATACTAACCATAAAACTGATATGATACTTACATGTTAGTGACCATGATACAAACATGATTCTGGCCATGAAACTGAAATGTTACTGACCATGATAGTAGCAAGATGTTAATTATAATACTGATTTTATACAAACATGTAACTGACCATGAAACTAACATGATACAAACCATGATAATGACATGATACTAACCATGATACTTAACATGATACTAACATGATACTATCCATGATACTGACCATGACCATGACATGTTACTAACATGTTACTGACCATGATACTTACATGATCCTGACATGTTACTGACCATGATACTAACATGATACTAACCATGATACTGACATGATTCTGCTATGTTACTGACCATGATACTAACATGACACTGACCATAATACTGACATGATTCTAACCATTAAACTGAACATGATACTAACATGTAACTGACCATGAAACTAATATGATACAAACCATGATAATGACATGATACTAACCATGATACTGAACATGATACTAAAATGATACTGACCTTGATAATGACATGTTACCGACCATGATACTAACATGACACTGACCATGATACTGACATGATACTAACCATTATACTGAACATGATTCTAACATGTAACCGACCATGAAACTAATATGATACAAACCATGATAATGACATGATACTAACCATGATACTGAACATGATACTAACATGATACTGACCATGATAGTGACATGTTACTGACCATGATACTAACATGACACTGACCATAATACTGACATGATACCAACCATTATACTGAACATGATACTAACATGATACTGACCATGATAGTGACATGTTACTAACCTAGATACTAACATGATACTGACCATGACACTGACATGTTCCTGATCATGATACTAACATGATTCTTACCATGATAAGGACAATGATTCTGACCATGACACTGACATGATACTGACCATGATACTAACATGATACTAACCATGATACTGACATGATACTGACATGTTACTTATATGATACTAACCCTAATACTGATATAATACTGACATGTTAATGACCATGACACTGAACATGATAAGGACAATAATACAGACCACGACACTGACATGATACTTACCACTATACTGACATGTTACTGACTATGACACTTACATGATACTAACCATAATACTGATATGATACTTACATGTTACTGACCATGATACAAACATGATTCTGGCCATGAAACTGAAATGTTACTGACCATGATAGTAGCAAGATGTTAATTATAATACTGATTTTATACAAACATGTAACTGACCATGAAACTAACATGATACAAACCATGATAATGACATGATACTAACCATGATACTTTACATGATACTAACATGATACTATCCATGATACTGACCATGACCATGACATGTTACTAACATGTTACTGACCATGATACTTACATGATCCTGACATGTTACTGACCATGATACTAACATGATACTAACCATGATACTGACATGATTCTGATATGTTTCTGACCATGATACTAACATGACACTGACCATAATACTGACATGATTCTAACCATTAAACTGAACATGATACTAACATGTAACTGACCATGAAACTAATATGATACAAACCATGATAATGACATGATACTAACCATGATACTGAACATGATACTAAAATGATACTGACCTTGATAATGACATGTTACCGACCATGATACTAACATGACACTGACCATGATACTGACATGATACTAACCATTATACTGAACATGATTCTAACATGTAACCGACCATGAAACTAATATGATACAAACCATGATAATGACATGATACTAACCATGATACTGAACATGATACTAACATGATACTGACCATGATAGTGACATGTTACTGACCATGATACTAACATGACACTGACCATAATACTGACATGATACCAACCATTATACTGAACATGATACTAACATGATACTGACCATGATAGTGACATGTTACTGACCTAGATACTAACATGATACTGACCATGATACTGACATGTTCCTGATCATGATACTAACATGATTCTTACCATGATAAGGACAATGATTCTGACCATGACACTGACATGATACTGACCATGATACTAACATGATACTAACCATGATACTGATATGATACTGACTTGTTACTGACCATGACACTAACATGATACTAACCATAATACTGATATGATAATCACATGTTACTGACCATGACACTGGCATGATACTGACCATGATTTGGACAATGATACAGACCTTGATACTAACGTGATTAGGGCTGCAGCTATCGATTATTTTAGTAATCGAGTACTCTATCGATTAATCTGTCGATTAATCGAGTAATCGGATAAGAAATGTTTTGCTCTCACTGTAATACTTTGCATTGAATCACGTTTGCCTCAGAGCGGACTTAATGCATGGACCGGGTGTTTTCTTTTAAGGTGCTGCAGCATTGACGACGTGCTGTTGTGAAACGCCAACTCCGCCTTACAGTAAACGTACTGCACGGCGTTTTCTTTCCTTTTCAGTGTGTAATGGTCCCACACTTTAGACACTTTCTGCCGTTTCCTCTGCGTGTCATCTCTTTCTTCCTCTCTCTGTCTGTCCTCGTTTTCCTCCATGATTGAACCAAACGCGCCATAGACATAATAAAAGATAGACCCCGCATCGGCCGCTACCACGAATGGGCGCTGTCGAGAAATGCGGCCGCCATCTTGGTCCGGTCATCCGCCTCACTCTGCACCGCTGTTTAACCGGCGGAATGAAGTCTGAGCGCATTAATGAATCATAGTTCGCTCAATACTACGTAATTTTCTTCTCTGCAAACGCCATTCAAAGAGGCATGATAGAGGCCATTTTTTTTTTTTTTGCGTTTTCAAATACTCAGAATGAATAAAATGATATTTTAGAACATGGCAGCAGTGGCTGTATTATAGTATAACAATTAATCAAGGATATATTTAGGTTTAGAGCTAGGTTCCTGCTATGTCTCAATAATTATTAATAACTGGTGGTATTAATAGGCCAATTCAATATATATTGATTTGATTATAATTTTTTATATAGTTTAATTTTATTTATCCATTTGTAGACACACACAAATAATGTCATATAGAAGCACTATTTTAATAACTGGAAAATACACACAAATATATAGCCTACATATCAAAAAGATTTAAACACAAGAACAGCATGACAGGACAGCATCTAAACTACATATCAATTTGCTTGTTGGCTACACAGCACAGAGGAATCACTTGCTGCGAATTTCTCCCTCTAACAGCAATCTCCCACTTCTTCCTCAAGTTTTTGTCCTTAGGAAATCTTCAAAATGAAACAGGAGATCACCACAAAGAAATCTTTAATAAAACAGATAATAAAACAGAGCTCACTTTCTTCCTTTTTCTTTCTATTTTATTTCTTAACGTTTCTTAGAACCTCTCTCAAACAAAAGTTTTTCAATCTAATGCAAATCTGTTGATAATCGACCAAAGTTGCTATTATTGTGAATAAGCTAGCTGTTCGCAAATGCTGTTTCCTTTTTGGAGTTGACCGATAGTCTTCCTCTTTGGCCTACAAATGACTCTACAGTCAAGTGTAATGTTTAAAAAACGTTTAATCATAACTGTGAAAAGTTATTTCTTGAGCCCTGTTCTCTGCTGTCCGCCTGTTGGCACAGGAATACGCCGCACAGTGCTCCGGCATCGCTGTATGAATGAATATGATTGACCGGAGCGTATGGGAAGCTTGACCTGACCAAGATGGCGGCCGCATTTCTCGCTGCGCAGCACCCCCAGCGGGGTCTACCCTTTTATTATGTCTATGAAACGCGCGGCAGCGGAAAGAGCGGAAAGAGCACGCTGCTGCGCAACAGAAATAACCGTCCGTGTCAAACACCGTGCGCTGCACATGGTTCCGGATTTAAACGATTCCTCGAGGCATATAATTTGCCTCGAGGAATTTTATTAATCGAGTAACTCGAGTTACTCGAGTAATCGTTTCAGCCCTAAACGTGATACTTACGATAATACTGATATAATACTGACATGTTACTTACCATGACACTAACATTACGCTGACCATGATAAGGACAATGATATAGACCACGACACTGACATGATACTAACCATGATACTGACATGTAACTGACATGTTACTGGCCATGATTCTTACATGATACTAACCATAATACTGATATGATACAGACATGTTTCTGACCATGATACTGTCTATGATACTAACATGATACTGACCATGAGGCTGACATGATACTAAACATGATACTGACATGATACTGACATGTTACTTACATGATACTATCCCTAATACTGGTATATTACTGACATGTTACTGACCATGACACTGACCATGATAAGGACAATGATACAGACCACGACACTGACATGATACTGGCCATGATATTGACATGTTACTGACATGTTTCTGACCATGATACTTAGATGATACTAACCAAAATACTGATATGATACAGACATGTTTCTGACCATGATACAAACCATGATACTTTCCATGATACTAACATGATACTGACCATGATGCTAACATACTAACCAAGATACTGACATGTTACTGACCATGATACTAACATGATACTAACCATAATACTGATATGATACTGACATGTTACTGACCATAAAACTAACATGATACAAACCATGATAATGACATGATACTAACCATGGTACTGAACATGGTACTAACATGATACTGACCATGATACTGACCATGGTAGTGACATGTTTCTAACATGATACTAATCATAATACTTATATAATACTGACATGTAACTGACCAAGACACTGACATGATACTGACCATGATAAGGACAATAATACAGACCAGGACACTGACATGATACTGACATGTTACTGACATGTTACTTACCCTGATACTAACATGATGCTGGCCATGATACTGAAATGTTACTGACCATGATACTAAAATGATACTAAACATAATACTGATTCGATACTAACATGTAACTGACCATGAAACTAACATGATACAAACCATGATAATGACATGATACTAACCATGATACTGAACATGATACTAACCATGGTACTGAACATGATACTTTCCATGATACTGACCATGATAGTGACATGTTTCTAACATTATACTTACCATGATACTTACATGATACTGACATGTTACTGACCATGATACTAACATGATACTAACCATAATACTAATATCATAATGACATGTTACTGACCATGAAACTGGCATGATACTGACCATGCTCCTGACAATGATACGGACCAT